CAATTAGCTCAAGAAAATGTATTTTTTGTATCGACATATCCAAAGTCCCTTTAAGGCAGGGGTCGGTCCTGGAGAGCCTGTGTCCTGGAGAGTTTAGCTCTAACCCTAATCAAACACACCTGAACCAGCTAATCAAGCTCTTATTAGATATACTGGAAATTTCCTGGCAAGTGTGTTGAAGCAAGTTAGAGCTAAACTCATTAGGACACCGACCCTCCAGGACCGACTTTGGACACCCCTGCTTTAAGGCAAGTATTTTCACTCAGTGGCCATCTCCAGTCGGTGCATGAAAGTGCAAGTGCCAGTGATACTTAACAACATCTGTCTCTTAAATCTTGTAACTAAATGTCCAAATCAAACATTCATTCTTTCGCTCATTTTCCTTCAGATTAGTCCCTTATTTTTCAGGGGTCACCACAGCGATATGAACCACCAACTATTCCAGCATGTTTTAAGCAGTGGGTGTCCTTCCAGCCACAACCCAGTACTGGGAAACATCCATACACTCTCACATTCACACACTACGGTCAACTTAGTTTATTCAATTCCCCTATGGCGCATGTTTGGACTGTGGGGGAAACCAGAGCACCTGGAGGAAACCCACGCAATCACACACCTCAGGATATCTGGACAAAGCCACAATGAGCGCCATGACATACCGGTAAATAAAACAATTGTCATGCCCACTTTCTATTATAAACTGAATGGTTGCCCCGCCTCCGAGCTCTACTGATTGGTCCAGTGCTATGGAAGTGACAGTAATGTGACATACAGTATTGATGTCATTCACCTCTTTGATCAAACTGGCGATATACAATGCGGTGAGCGGCGTCTGCTCCGCCACCTTCATCACCACTGTGTTTCCAGTGGCCAGAGCCGGACCCAGCTTCCAAGCCTGCATCAATAGAGGGAAATTCCACTGCACACAAAGGAGGACAGAAGGACATTGCATTAGTTGTAAAATTACTGCAATACAATGTTATAAAAATATTGCAAATTTGCATTCAAAAAGCATAGACTTACAGGAATAATTTGCCCACAGACTCCAATGGGCTCATGTCTTGTGTAGCAGAAGTAATTGCCATCAATCGGAATGGTTTTACCCTCCCATTTGTCTGCCCAGCCAGCATAATACCTAAAAAACAAAAGGAGGAAGGAAAAAACAAAGTTACTGGACTTGTGAATGAATTAACCATCATCAGTGTTACGATTTATTAATAAAAAGCAACATTTAGACAGTGATATTAAAGCAGGGTAAAATGGATGGATAGAAATCAGGGCTCAACAATAAGGACTGCCCGGTGGCCAGGGGCCAGCGTGAAAGACGCTCGGGACAGTAGACAGGATTGTTACTGGCCCCTATCGGCCAGTAACGGTGAGCATGCCATTTTTTTCGTAACATGGTAACAACAATTACAGCGACAAGATGGCAACATCTAACTATGAGGCTAAAAGAAAACGTCAGTTTCTAAAGTCTTGGAAGCAGACAATTACATGGGTACTAAATTAAGAAACTGGGAAAAAAAAAAAAAAAAAAAAAAAAAAAAAAGGAGTTGTCGGTTTGGCAAGCCATTTTTATAAAAATAATTTAGAATTGCACTAAAATACCAGCAAATTTTTCATACTGCTCTTTTGTTTGCATAAAATCAAACTAATTTTGTTCATTATACATTTATTAAACTTTTTTAAAATGTTTCAATTCTAGATTCATAGACATTATTTTGCCATATAATTTAAAATATGTGGCTAAGAATTAGCTATTAACTTTTTTTTTTTTTTTAGGGGGGCCAGTGAAAATTTTGACAGGGCAAGTAAAAACCTCAACCCCAATTGGCCCAGTAGAATAAATCCTTAGCGTTGAACCCTGGAAATGGAGGAGGAGATATCCTTAGTTTTAATGCCACAGCCGTATCACCCTGCAGCCCAAGACCGGTTACTCACTAAAGCTAAGCAGGGCTGAGCCTGGTCAGTACCTGAATGGGTGACCACATGGGAACACTAGGTTGCTGTTGGCAGTGGTGTTAGAGAAGCCAGCAGGGGGCGCTCAACCTGTGTGAGTCCTAATGCCCAAGTGAAGATGACACTATACTGTCAGTGGGCGCCGTCTTTCAGATGAGACGTTAAACAGAGGTCCTGACTCTCTGTGGTCAATAAAAATCCCATGGCACTTCTCGTAAAAGACAGGGGTGTAACCCTGGTGTCCAGGCCAAAGTCCCTCAATCGGCCCTTACAATCATGGCCTCCCTCTACTGAATTGGCTCCATCACTGTCTCTCCACTCCTCCAATAGCTGGTGTGTGGTGAGCGCACTGGCACCGTTGTCCTGTGGCTGCCGTCGCATCATCCAAGTAGGGCTGCACACTGATGGTGGTGTGGAGAGACCCCCATATATATATATAAAAATACATATACTATATGTATTATAATACATATACCATAAATATAATACTCGGGGTTCAACGCTAAAGGACATTTTCTACTGGCCCGACTGGAACAGCAGTTCAGATTTTTACTTGCCCTGCCAAAATTTTCACTGGCCCCACCAAAATAAATAAATAAAAAATAGCTATTTTTTAGCCACATATTTCAAATAATGTGTCAAAACTAATGCCTTTGAATCTAGAATTTAAATCTTTTTAAACGGTTAAAATATTTAGCAGTAAAATACAGCAGCATGGAAAATGTCCAGGTATTTTATTGCTAAACAAAAAGTGGCTGACTTAAAACTGATGGAAAACTATGCAAAACATCACTTCATTTTTTTCGTTGTGTTGTACCCATGTAAATATCTTTTTCCACAAAACAGACGTTTTCTTTTAGCCTCATAATTTGATGTCGCCGTCTCTTCACTGTTATGGTTTTTACTGGGTTGTGGAAAAAGATAACGTGCTCACAACAAACAATCAGATAAAAGAAACCAAAAAGCAATATGGTGTTTACGACTTTACAGAAAACGAAGCATTCTGAGACAAGCACAAATTGTTTCTCGGTTCTAAGACTGTATTTGTACACAATTGACACTGTAGCAGGCAAATTAAAATTGAATGACAAGACAGCACTGGCCTGATCTGGCCAGTAAGATTCTCTCTATTGTCCCGAACATCTCTCATGCTGGCCCCGGGCCATCGGGCAGTCCTTATTGTTGAGCCCTGACACTATATAAATACACATTTCAATTTGCTTATTCTAATGTTAAATCATTAAAACCATCAAATGCTGGCACATGCGAGTCATTTACACTGGAACAAAACGAAAGAAATACAGATAACATTACAAAGAATAAAAGGTAACTTATAAACGGTCTAATTTGCTTCTCTCCTTAATTTAGCAGCAATCAATTATAAGAGCACAACATTTACACCATTTCTGATGGCATATACAGCATGTTGAGTTTTTTGGGAAATAAAAAAATACTTTAAAATATGGGCACAGTGCATTTTTGTCACACACCCAGCGATCGCTTCCCAGAGGATCGCTGGTTCTCACACGAACTCTCATGACTACATTTCCGCATTTCCCAGGACTACATTTTCAAACATGCACTGCTCCCAAACACGCACGCCTGCTCATTCATCTATCCTGATTGCAATCACCAGCTGGACCTTGTTCACAGACTGATATCACACCATACTTAAGCCACTCATTCACGCTTCCAGTTTGCCGAGTCTTGTTTGCATCTTTGTGACATTACTACGCGTTTCCCTGTCTTGTTTCTACGTGTCTCGATCCTAGCCTTGCATCCTTGTTATCCTGTTTAGCCGCCTGCCTTTCGACCTTTTGCCTGTTTAACGTTTATGATTCTGGACTGCCTTAATATACCCGTTTGCGCCTGATGACTAGTGGTGGGCAAAGCAAGGCTTCGTGAAACACTGAAACTATCGAAGCAAATGTGTCGAAGCTTCGAAACGTTTCGAAACACCACTCTACGGTGACACCTAGTGGTCATTTTATTTGTATTGCACTGAAGCAGCTTCAGCAAAGAACTGTTGAGCAAATTGAG